TACTACTACTACTACTACTACTACTACTACTACTACTCTACTACTCTACTACTCTACTACTACTACTACTACTCTACTACTCTACTCTCTCTCTCTCTCTCTCTCTCTCTCTCTCTCTCTCTCTCTCTCTCTCTCTCTCTCTCTCTCTCTCTCTCTCTCTCTCTCTCTCTCTCTCTCTCTCTCTCTCTCTATGTGTGTGTGTGTTTTGGGCGGGGGGTTGGCTCATCCCCCCTGCCCCCCACCCCCCTCCCTCCCTCCCTCCCTCCCTCATTTTATTTTCCCTTATTTTCATTTGGTCTTCTTTCTATCCCTACCTCTCATTTACCTTTCGTCAAAGACCTACTTTTATTCAATCACCTCCTATGTTCCTTGACTTCCACCTCTTCTAGGAAGGTTAACACCAAAAATGAGTTTATCCCTTCCTTTGGGATTGAGACCCTATTATGGATTTTTTTAGGTTCCCGAATCTTCTTTTTCTCTTGGGCCTGAAATGCCCCTCTATCAGGTTCATTAGAGCGTAGGCCTTTTTGAGGCCCTGCTAGAGCCTTGTCGCGGAGGTTCTGCTCACAATCTCCTTATTTCTAGCCTAACACAGTTTCAGTTTCCTAGAGGAGGTGTTTGGCAACTTATTACTCTATCACCTTGTCTAGTTGTCTTGGCTCCTGACTTCCCCCTCTTTGGTTTCTCTTCCCACCCTCGTCTATCTTGCCCTTTCCTTTAAACCTTACTTTTGGTTGCCCAACACGCCATCATGTTTATTTCAGATCAGGTCTATCTTGGTCACGATCGACACCGCCATGTTTATTTTAAATGAAGGTTTTGGTCACGATCGACACCGCCATGTTTATTTTAAATGATGTTTTGGGCATAGTGGTGTATTGCTTGCTTCAACCCCGGCTTATGTACTAATTGTGAAGGGATGTTGTTGCTCATGCATGGTGGTGAGTAGTCAAGGATCACGAGTAGGACTTAAAGACAAATAGGCACGTGTTGCTTTAAGTAGTCAATTGGAATTCTAAAATTGTTACTGATGTAGGTCTTGAAGGTTTAGAGTTAGATTTGGTTGATGAGTTTTTTATCGGTCTTTTTTGGAAGTAAGGATTCTTTTCTCTACTTCCTCTTTATAATTGGACTTTTTTGAAGCAAGGATTCTTTTCTCTACTTCCTCTTTATAATTGGACTTTAGTTTTGCCTCCTTTGTTAACGAAATCTTGCAGTTTCTATTTAAAAAAAAAAACAAAATGTACAGCCCACGCTTCATCCATTCAAACTTTTTTAACACCCTTGGACTACATCGTTTCCCCCAAAATGATTTGAAACGAGACAATCTAAAACCAGACGATCATTAACCTCAGTCAAAGCCGCTAGGTAAACAAGTCCCTCCCTCCCACAATTGCCAATCCAGATCAAAATCATAGGACTCAAATAGGGAGTGAAGGGTCGTATTTGGCCATTATGAAACTGCCAGATCACCCGATTCTCAACTTCGCCCTCATTTTTGACCGAACTCTGTTTTTTTTTTTCCTTGCGATTTGGAGAAAGACTCATCCAACCCGAATTGAAATTCCCAATCCGAATTGGCCCAATGGCTGACTGAATGGACCGCCCCATCTCTGCTTCAAAACACTGGTCATAATAAAATAAGAAGCACTGCTTGCAACTCCACCCCCAAACTTTCTTGTATCAAAGAAACTACCATATAACTATAGTCACTCTCTCTCTCTCTCCCCAAAATAGAGATAGTAATAAGCCTTTAATTTAGTGAGCCAGGTGTTATTTAACAGCTCTGGGTCCAACGACCTAAATCCGCAATCTTTCTCGTAAACCCTACTACAGCATGTAACCAAGCACATTTAGAACTTTCCTTTTTTTACAAGTCCAAAACCTTCCAAACAGTTTTCGCTGTGAATAAAATAAGAAGGCATGTTCCAGAGAGCCGCATACAAAAAAACAGCACAAGCACCCGAGTAAAAAGTACTTCTTAGCGTCCCTTTTTATTTTGGAGAGCGCCAACAACAATGCGCTCATCTCGTCTCTTTCTCTATTAACCAAACACAGCAGCCAATAGCTGATGACCTTCAAAAATGAAATCTTTTGAGGCAGCACCGATAAAATTATTGATTTTTTATGCATCAAAGAAAATGTGAACCCAGAAGGAGGGAGGGCAGGGGTGATCAGGTGGTGGCCGACTCCTTGGCAATCTTCTCGGCTTTGGCAATGACCTCTTCGATCCCACCAACCATGTAGAATGACTGCTCGGGAAGATCATCATACTTTCCATCCAATACACCCTGGAACAAACAAATCCAAAAGCAAGTTGAATGCGAGGGGCCCTTTTCTAATTTTGATATATATAAATCCACGCTCACAAAGATAAAATACAATAAAATAGTAATGCACACATATAAACTTCTACACATACATTTAACCATACATATATATGCACATGCATGATACATGAATATAAACATATACATACACAGCCCAGGCATAAACATATTGTGTCCCTTATCATGTAGATAATGCAGATATAAATAGTTTTGACTCAAGAACCAGGCTTCCTACTTTTACATCAAAGGTAGCTTAAGGATTTATAGGACAGGAATTGAATTCAATCCATTTCTAGGTCTCTCAATAGCACATATGGTTTCTCAAACCTGTTGTAGACATTAATTTCAGCTAGTCCATTTCTAGGTCTCTCAATAGCACATATGGTTTCTCAAACCTGTTGTAGACATTAATTTGAGCTAAAAACAAATGCGTGGTGAGGATAAGGCAGACTATAACCCTCATACTAAAAAGGTTCCATAACAGCATATTAAAGAGAGAAACTGCAAAAAGCACAATCCAAAACCAGTAGCCGTACCAGAAAGTACCTCTAATCCATGAGATGGGTTCCCTACTTGTGAAGTTCGAAAGGCTCGCCCAAAATAAAACAAGAAATACAAGAAACAATACCTCATATGATCATACTTTTGACAGAGTATAATAAAAAAAATGTTCAACATTATCATAAATTTGCGGCTATAAAATAATAATAATAGTGATCACATTGTGCAACTTGTTTGGTAGAGGTTCAATGCAGTATTCTCGGTCAAGTAAGAATTCCAAATGCTGTTCATTAATGCTAAATGTTTCTTACTTTGTGGTGAGATCAATTTGTGGTAAGATCGATATGTATAATGGACTGAAAAATAGCAAATGAACAAGAATTTTAACCATCAACCATCCAAACTTCCCACTCAAAAGAATGGCTGAACAAAGCTAATCATCATTCCCTCTGGCCTCAAGTAATAACAAGTAGAAATCGAACTTGATTACTTTTAAGTATCAAACAATGACTCAGCTTTCAAGGTACTGATTAAATTCTTCGTAGGAAAGAAAAGATAAGGATAGTTAGAGAATGTAACAAACAACAGGACAGTTTTTTCTGATAGTTTAGATGCAACTTCTATTTATGAGGCACCTTGTATAAAACCAAATTGTATTTAACCATCAAGAAAACATCCAAATTGCTATAAAAACAACTAGATCAATAAGCACTGGACATTTGGTAAAGGGGAAATAAGCTCAAACAGAGATGCCCATAAAAAATAAAAGAAAAGAAAAACAAAAGGAAAAGTTTCAGTAGCCTTTATCTTGAAAATCAATTAGCTTGTTTACAAGTCTTTTGGTGTGGTGTGCATGTTTATACATGCTTCTTTTTTTTTCTTTTTTTGTGGGGGTGAAGAGGGAGAGATGAGTTGCCTTTGTCCTCCACTTGTTCAGTAGGTCCAAATTCGCTCGCAAATGTGGTAACCTCCAGTACCCCATGCACCACAGATCAATATGTACACTCTTTAAAAGCATCAAATCATGTCCTTTGCTGCAAACAAAATTGAAGATTTATGTATGGAGTTCTCTGCAAATGCACCAAGTGCTTCCATTTTTCTTCGTACTACTTGATTTAAATTAGTTCCCACAAACAATTGAGTCCTCATGTTCTCAGCTGTTGGACATTTATCACAAAACAGATTCTCTCCTAAAATACGATTACTCGTGACTTTTGTCCCAGGCAGGTATTGGTATTACATGTGTTGTTTCTTAAGCATTCAGGGATATAGGTAATGCACTAGATATTTGATAGTTTCTAGTGGTTTGGTTTACAGAGGTCAATATCAACACATTTCTAGGATCCTTTCACGAAAAAGTTGTTCTAATAACATCTCACAATTGCCTCCATGCTTAAGGAGATGTATACCAAACAGTGTATCAAAACATGTGCTCAGGGCAGGGCGAGGACCTAGGCCGCTCATTGAGGCCAAGGTGGCCCCCTAGGTGGCCAGACCCAAGGAGGGTGGTTTGGTTTACAGAGGTCAATATTAACACATTTCCTGGATCCTTTCACGAAAAAATAGTTCTAATAACATCTCACAATTGCCTCCATGCTTAAGGAGAAGCATACCAAACAGTGTATCAAAAAGTATGCTCGGGGCAGGGCAAGGACCTAGGCTGCTCATTGAGGCCAAGGTGGCCCCCTAGGTGGCCAGACTCAAGGAGGGTGCCATCGCCTCATCTGTGGAGCCTACCTCCCCAAAGGTAAAGTTGTCTTCTTTCCCCTTTTAAAGGATGGCGAACCTTTCTAATACGTCGATTTTTAAGAGAAAAAAACAAAAAAATTCTTTACTGCAGAATTTGAATCTGACATTTGTGCTTAATTGCTCATGTATTTGAGTATTTTGAGTTTTGGTCTTAGAAATGGAGCAGGTAGGCCCAAAAGGACGTGGTTGGAAATAGTTCGAAAAGATATGAAGACTTATGGCCTCACTGAGGTATGGCCTTTAATAGAGTATAATGGCGGACTAAGATTCATGTAGCCGACCACAATTAATTGAGAAAAGGCTATGATGATGATGATGATGATGATGATGATGATCTTGGAAATGGAGCCTAAAACATAAACAGCCATATGGCATTGACATTTGGATTTTGGAAATGCTATTATCTTTTGCTCTTTGTGCTGGTTAGTTTGTTACATCTTACATCCACTGATTTACATTTGTGAAATGTGATTCAACATTTATTTGGTTGCTTTCAAACTTTGGAATTCTCTTTTTCAATATATGCAAATATTCTACATACATGTGTGTGTGTGTGTGCAAGCACATTTGCATTTGGAGTGCATATATATGCATATTAGATGTGTGTGGAGCGTCTTGAAACCAAGCAACTGCCTAGGCACTTAGGCAGCTGCATCACAACTTAGCGATCAGCTCCCCCTTGGCCGCTTAGGCCTGGCACCTTCTGACAGACTCAAACAAATATAATTACTGAGTGTTTGGCCATGCTTACCAAGTCTCTCTTAGGTGCCCTAATTTTAAAGACTTTCCGAGGGACTGCTAATAGGCCACAAAACCACTAAGCCAACCCTCTAGCTACTGGTGAATATGATGAAAGATTGGCTATGAATTAAATCTGAGAATGCTTGAAAGAGTTCAACATTAGCTTTGTCCAAAAATATGGCCAGACACACCAAGGACTGCAGGTACCCAAAACAACATGGTTGCAACAAGCAGAGTGTTTCAAGCAAACTACAAGTCAAAATGTAAGACATCGCAAGACCAAGATCTCAAGTTTAGGTAGCTCTACTCTTTCATATTAACATGGTCTAAGAAGGGTGAGGACCTAAAACCTTCCCTTAACCCATCGTATGCCCTGGTAAGGAGTTGGGTTGTGTTAGGTAGGCAGCCTCCATAAAATTTTGCCAAAATTTATCATGAATCTTAAATGCAAACCAGGGTTCGTGTAGCCGACCCCAATAAATTGGGAATAGGCTTTGACAATGATGACGACTCCCCCCTGTTAACAAATACTACCCAAAAGAAATTAAAAATCACTCTCCAGAACTGAAATTAAAATTTCCATATGTCAGCTTTTAAAGATGTTGTCACCAGTACTAGTGTATGAAGGTAATTCTCCTATTATCTGGTCAATTTCGAAAGTCCTTGACATTTTACAAATTCTTGCATCCTCAGGTATTTGAGATTGTTAATTTCCTTATTTTATCTTTTGACATTTTAAACTTTTTAAAACTATTTTCCTTTATTTTAAAAAAAAAATAAGTTTTGACTTGAACGACTAATTGTGCCAACTAGCTCAAGTCATCAATCAAGACTTCAATTTGCCAAATTAGATAAGTCCCTGGTAAGTAAAGGATGCATTGAAGCAACAGGAAAATCAGTACAGAGAAATAAATTTCCAACTATTTGGGTTGGGACCCATGCAAATTAACAATCACCACAATTAACATTGGCATTCAAAATCATTCACGTGGAAGCAGCAGGAAAATCTTCACAGAATAACTATCAAATAGCGGGTCTCCATGCAAATTTCTCAATAACCAAAGTAATGCATCAGCAGTAAAACTCATTAGATTGACAACATGAAAAAATCCAGTAAAACTAAAATAGAGAACTCTAAATTCTAATTGAAAATAATGGATGACAACAAGCCTTAATCATAAACCAACCCTTAAAGGTGAAAGGATAGGAGGTGGAGCAAGCAGGTGTACCAACAATATGATTTTTCAATTCACGTTCTCTATTATCTTCAGCATTTGTAACGAATCATAATTAGTAATGTAGTCAATAGCATGTCCAACACAGGTACTAAGATTTACTTCAAAATAGAGATGTTGCCAAATAACAAAAGTCACTCAAACCAACAAACTATTATGTGTAGCAAAATAATTAAGCAGCAAACTCAGCTAGAAAAGTGGTCAAAAACCAAGAGTACACAAAGCATGAATCAATAAAAACATCCAAAGCTTAAAATTTACATAATTAATGAGCACAGAAATGCACCAAATATGAGAAAGCCCAAGCTTTGCCGAGGATACATCAGAAATGCATGCAAACTAAATTGAATATCAAGAACCTCTCTATTTATTTATTATTAGCTCAATTTTAAATAAAAAAGTTGAAGTCACACAAAAAAGTTAGAAAACAATGAGAAAGACATAAGCAGAACCAAATTCAAGTTCAGGAAGCTCTTTTTTACCTGGAAGCTGACAATGCTCTCCTTCAATTCCACATATTTTCCTGGAGCACCCGTGAAAACCTCAGCAACATGGAAAGGCTGACTCAGGAACCTCTGGATTTTCCTAGCACGAGCCACTGTCAACTTGTCATCTTCACTTAGCTCGTCCATACCCAGGATGGCAATAATATCCTGAAGATTCTTATAGTTTTGAAGAACCTTCTGGACACCACGAGCAGTGTTGTAGTGATCCTGCCCAAGAATGTGAGGGGAAAGCATACGCGACGTAGAATCAAGGGGATCCACAGCAGGGTAGATACCAAGTTCTGAAATCTGTCAAAGCAAGAAGACAAAATATGAGAAAGTGCAAAACAAAACCACAAATAAAAATAAAAATAAAGGGCATATTTCAAAGCAGTGATCAGGAAATAGGCTTTCAAATCAATAATTAGATTGGTCACCCCTTTATCCAAACGACAAGGCTGGTACTCTGAATACCAGACAAAGGGTAAAATAGGTAATCGGAATACCGGGAATCTATTTTGAATTCCCATGTTCCTGGAGCACCTAATACAAGTTATGCATTCCAGTCATTGTCAAATATTTTCCCAAAATTAAGAAACAATCATTTACTAGAAAAAAGAAGTTGAAAAACAACATCAAGAGATGAGATGCAAGGAATACGAACCTGACGAGATAACACAGTGGTGGCATCAAGATGAGCAAAGGTGGTGGCAGGGGCAGGATCAGTCAAATCATCAGCAGGCACGTAAATAGCCTGCACAGAAGTGATCGAACCCTTCTTTGTTGTTGTGATACGCTCTTGCAAGCCTCCAAGATCAGTGGCTAAGGTTGGTTGATAACCCACAGCAGATGGGATACGCCCAAGCAGAGCAGACACTTCAGAGTTTGCCTGTCAAAAAGAGCAAAAATCTCATTAACTCATAATCATAACAATGATAAATAGTTACATACTTCTGTGAAGCACAAACACCCAAAGAAAAATCATATTAGAAGATAATAATAAAGTACAATTGTTGTAAAAAATTGATAGCTTGTTTTTAATGGAGGGCATACTTGGGTGAAACGGAAAATGTTGTCAATGAAGAGAAGCACATCTTGGCCTTCAGCATCTCTGAAATGTTCGGCTACAGTGAGCCCGGTCAGCCCCACACGAGCACGAGCACCAGGCGGCTCATTCATTTGTCCGTACACAAGAGCACACTTGCTCTCAGCCTGAGACATAGATATCAAATGTGTATCCAAATGAATGTAAACAAAAGAAACCATTTTGAAGAAAAAGAGTGAAGATATACAGGGGACAGGCATCAACCTGTTTTTCACCTAGCTTGATGACACCACTCTCAATCATTTCCCTGTACAGATCGTTACCCTCCCGAGTACGTTCCCCAACACCAGCAAAGACAGAAAAACCACCTGCTCAAATAAATCAGAATTAATGTACCTAAATACAAAAGTGCCAACAAGTCTCTCCATTCTCTAAAACCCACCATGAGCCTTTGCGACATTGTTAATCAGCTCCATAATAAGCACAGTTTTGCCAACACCAGCACCACCGAAGAGCCCAATCTTTCCACCACGCTGGTAAGGTGCCAACAAGTCGACGACCTAGAAGTACCAATAGTGAATAAATCAAACAGGCCTCAAATATAGATTTATTCATGTTAATGAAAAGACCTACATAGGAGATAAGCAGAAGAAAATTGTAAGCAAAAAATTGCAAATATATCAAAAATCTCAATAGCAGTAAATTTTTAGTCAGGAGTACAAACCCAAATAGTCATGAAAAATTTTATGACACATTAAGAGCGAAGGAAATTCAAACAAATGGATCAAAATCAATAGATAAGAATTAGAACATACCTTGATACCAGTAACAAGAATCTCTTGCTCAGTTGCTTGTTCAACAAATGAAGGAGCTTCACGATGGATAGGCAAATAGTGATCGGTCTCTGATGCAGAAATAAGATATAAAAGGAACAAAAAAATTAGAAAAAATTTTAGTGATTAGAACACTCGTTAGGAAATGGCAATGCCGAACAGGGAATAGTAAATAGACGCACACTAATTGAAGAAACATACTTATTTCACCCCTTTCGTCAATGGGTTCCCCAATGACATTGATAATGCGACCAAGTGTAGCCCTACCCACTGGTACCTGTTAAAAAAAAAAGAAAATAATTCGGCAATCAACACAATGACCAGTTGCAGATAGACATGGTTATCTATAAAAAAGATAAATCTATAAGTACAAAACATTGCTAAATACGAAACCATACATCTAAACGAGAGAGATAGAGATAAGATCTAGCAATTTGGATCAGCACTATCTATAAGCGATTGAAACACTGCCAAATATCACATTTTTGCATGCTGATCCAGACAGTCCATTACACCATGATCACATTATGTCAGCCTGCATACTCCCAACAAATACAAACACCAATACATCCCAGCTATACTCCAACAAATACAAAGACCAATCCCTCCCTCACAGAGGGAGGGCAGTTAAATAGTGGTGGATCATCTCTCTCTCTCACCAGCACACAAACGAAAATGAAAATAAAACATCAGGAGAAAAAAAAACCTAATTTCAAAAGATCAACTCAAGAACAAAACCCCAACTAACCTTGATGGGAGAACCAGTGTTGAGCACCCTCTGGCCCCTGACAAGCCCTTCAGTCCCATCCATAGCAATGGTCCTCACCATTTTCTCCCCCAAATGCTGAGCCACCTCCAAAACCAACCTTATGGAGTTATCCAAAACCTCCAATGCAGTCAAGATCGGAGGCAACCCCTCATCAAACCTCACATCCACCACTGCTCCAATCACCTGACAGACCTTCCCAATGGCTCCAGCCCCTGTGAACTCATCAGTGATCTTACCAAGAGGTCCATCTTTACCAATACCGGGAGGAGTTGCTACAGGGGGTGGAGGCGACGAAGTTGCAGCGGCCGATGTCGCATACTGTGCAACTTTGTCGAGAAGAAGGCCCGAAGAAGATGATATCGGCCTGTAAAGCTCTGGTCCTCTATTGATGAGGCTCGACGGTTGAGATCTGACGGTTTTGGCACCCCTGATGAGAGAGGACAGGGCTCTACGGTATGCCATTAGGGGAAAACCCTACCCCTGGTTTTTTGGAGTTGCAGTAGAGAGACAAAGTGAGGAGATCAGAGTAAGGAAAGATATAAAGAGAAAATTAGGGTTTTGTGTTCAGTGGGGAAGATGGTGGCGAAGGGATTGACGGCAGTCCATGGAAGGAGAGGAAGAAGATAGAGAGAGGAATGGCGGACGCCAAAAGGTTCGTAAAGGCGTTTTAGGAGGCTGACTTTATGGGGGCGTGGAGTCCGCTTTGTTGGTCCTCTTCTTTTGGGGTGGGGGTGAGTGCTGTTAAAATTAGGTTTCCTTCCAAATGTTTTCAAAGCATCGGTCTTATTTTCAGCCGGAGTGTACCCTTTTTATTTGCGGATATGTAAGGTTTGACGTATTTACCAGGGAAAAGTTCATACACGCTCTAAACAATCAAATTATATTTTTAAATTGATCATCTGGACATCAAGATGCATAGACATAAGAAAAAAAAATAGATTTTAAGTTTCGAAACTAGTGTATTTTGTAATGCATTTTTGAAACGTCAATTTTCAAGATTTTCAAGTTTCATAGATTTGTCGATCTACACTATTTTTGAAGCTTTAAACTTTATAAATAAAAATGAAAATATATTTTAAGGCGATTTTCAATAGTGAAACCACATTTCTCGATACTATTTGAAGGTAGGCTCTAATTTGATTGTTTAGAGCTAGGCTTAAGCAATTTGTTCCTTTATCATATAAATGTATGGCTCACTTCTAAACTTGCTGAACAATTTTAGCGCCAGACACGTTTACAATAACCTAAAAATCTATTTCTACCCCTAATCACAAAATTAAAGTGGTACAAATCAAGCAAATATATAAACACATTTTAAAATATTGAAAACGGATATACTATTTAATAGGTTACAAGACACTCTTTTTCTCATATCTATACTTATCGAAGTTAAGATGATCAAATAGGAAGGTTTCACAACATGAAAAGAATATTTTTCAATGTAAGCATAATCTTTTCCTTTAAAAAATGAATCCAGAGGGTAAATTGATCGCATGACAGGTTGATACAGATCGGCAAATCAAAAAGGAATTATAAACAATAAAATAAAAAAGTAAAATCTTTGGCTCACGCTACTTAAGTGGCACCAAATTACTCAAATGGCCCGACTTGTTTAGATTTCCATAAAAGAATTAAGGGCATTTGAAGCTTTTTAACAAATGTTCGTGAGGAGGCACTGAGTGAAATGAAACTTATAACTTAAGGATTCTATTGTGAACTTGATTATTTGACAACCTTCACGATATTGTAGGATGGTTTGAGCAATTTAAATTTTTTCCCACCAAAAAAAGAAAAATATGAACAAAGTGATCAAGTCACCTCAAAATAACAATGGGGTTAAATTAACTAATTTACCAATTAAGTGGTTATTTTGTGAAACCTCCACTTCCATGAATCATGAATATGTGTTATCTGTTTATACTAGGGTTTTTGGCCTCACATAAGATATAGCTCTTGATAGAGCAGAATAGCGGATCAAGATTTGTGTAGCTGACTCCAAATAGTTAAAAAGAGACTCTAATGATGATAAAATTACTTGAATTAAATAACATAAATACCCTTTTTTTTTTCACGTTCCAACCTAATCTTGAACATGTTTTTTATTTTTTTAAATAAAATCTTGTTTCAAGTTTAGAACCTTGTAACAAAGGGGCTACCTGCATCTTACATCATTTGGCTCATGTGATGGAGCTTGAAAGTGAAGCCAAATTATTAATAATGATCACACTTGTTTTGGGTTCTGAATTTGGAACATGTTTCTTGAATAAGAAACATGGTTCAAGTTTTGGGTAAGGTTTGTACAAGGTTGGCACCTTGAACAATCAAAGTAAAGGCGCACCCTAAATTGATGTTGAAAGAGATGGTCCAAGTGCAGGAAATCCATAAGATGGTCCTCAAAGCTATTTTTATATCAAATATGAAATTTAAAGCTTAAAAAACAGTATAGAATGAACACATATATATATATATATGAACACTTGACAATGGACGGTCCAAAAAATACATTACAAGACATTGCTTTCAGAACTTGAAATTATTAACTTTCTACATCCACATATTTTAACGTCGAGATGATTGATTGGAGGGTTTTTCGATAGCAAACCAACCCTTTCCATCAGGGTGCACCTTATTTTTATAACTTAAAGATTAACACCTTATATAAACTTTCGCCTTAAATTTTAGAGCCCGAAAAAAATTTAGACTTTAAATGTGTCACATTATGAGAGGGTGTGGTTTTATTAGGTTACAACATTAAACAATCAAATTAAAGCGCACCTCCAAATTTTATTATAAATATAATTTTATGTAAAAAATTGTTATGATGGCTTAAGAATACATTTTCATGTCTAATTATAAAATCTTAAACTCCAAAAATAGTTTAGATCAAGTAGATCTAAAATCTTGAAAACAAACAGCACCGACAATGTGTTGCTTGATAAACTATTTATAGGACCAGAAATTTTTCTTTCATATTCCCTACATCCCGATATTGGGATGATCAATCATAGGGTTTTCCAAAATCAAAAGGACCTTCTATGCGGGATTTTTGAGGTGCACCTTAATTCTATTATGAAAACCTTGTATAAACTTTTTCCATTATGAAAACGTTTTCACTTGAACAAGGGCATTTAAAGCGTTTATGTGATTCTACAAAAGGTTTTCAAATGAAAGGATCCATCAAATGCAACAAATTTGTTGAAGAAATCGTTGATTTCACCGCCATGTTGAACGTTGAACTTTTGAGGTGGTTTGACCGTTCTAAAAATATTTCCCTTTTTAAAATTTGAATGGTTGTCCATGTGATTTCATGAGACCATCGTATCTCACGCTTTCACTACAGAGACGCTAGTAATTTAGAACCCAAATCAATTAAATAGACTTTGCTATGTTAATGTGGCTGAAATGCTTCATAAACATCTCTCTCTCGCTGTAAAGATCACCCTTTACACCGTCGTGCACTTCTCTTTTCAATTAAATTAAATTAAATTTTAAGGTAAATATTCTCGAAAAAAAAAAAAAAAAAATTCACACTGTAACAACTCATGGAAAACAAAATAAGAAAACACCATAGCAAGACCATTTAATGCTCCGGCAAGAGGAAGTTAGGTTTCTTCATGTTACCAAAAGGAAATTACAACAAGAACCAAGCATATGGATTTCAACATGGATATGACATTGTCTCAAGGAGGCTCATGCTTAGCATCACACTGAGAAGAGGCGGTAATCCATGGTACTGGTTCTTGGAGACGATCTTTACAAACATAGCTGTATCAACAAGAAAAAAATTGAGGGCATTTTAATAGAACCCAACTTAAAACAAAATGCGGAGATTTAAGCTCTAAAGCTGCGACTCTTATCCCCTTTATCTTTCAAGAAATAAATAACAGAAGCATACATTTTGTGTGCCTCAATCAATATTTGATGTTTAAGTAGAAAATCTGCACTGAGATGCATGTGCCTTTATTCCTTCATGTCAGTATGTATTCATGTGGAAGCATGAATTAGGTCTGATCGTCCTGCCTGTAATGGAGCAATGTTAAAGCACTGCATTTCAGTAGGGAAAAAAAAGTACATGAGGTTTCAATATTTACGGATCAACCAGTAATAGCAGACAACGCTAGTCAATTCATCAACTACTAAATATAGATAGGAATCTACATAAAACATTAGGGTATTATGCAAACAGAATGAAATCAAACTACAGTTTTGCTATCTATCTTATGCCATAACCTATGTAACTGCCATAGAATTGGTTAAGGTGCCAATTCTAGAAATTCTGATTTTCCCAGAACATGCAGCAGTCACATCCTTGAGGATCACCAGTAAAACCCAGGTTCTTCATACTCTAACGGGAACACAAATAAAGCTAAACACTCCAACCGGATGGCCATGCATCCAAAAAATTCAAGTAGCAGACCAAACATGTTCAAAGTGTCCCTCCAATATCAAGAGCAATAATAACTATTTATTCAGTGGACTTCAAATGTGCGTGAATCCTAACTGGCCAGGACCAAAGAGAACCATTCCCCACGGTACATTGATCTGCTAATTATAGAGCTGTATAACCATGTAAATAGAGAAAAAAAGAATAATTGTTAGCTAGAAGCCTCCTCCATGAGCCCATTATGTTGAAGGCACACCAACCTGGGACAGAACAGCCCCCACTGCGTAATGGTCCATTGTTCTCAAGAAAGCGGTTACCACTGTTAGGCCAGCTTGTCCCCTGTACCACATGGCTTTATGCCAATTAAAGGTAGACCATTGGAAAGCATCCACATAATTGGTTTCTACTCTATATACATATATAAAAGATCTTATCAAGGCACATCGTAAGGACACACACACACACACACAAAGACGCACATGCAGACACACACAGGGCTAATTGTTCTCATTCGATAAAAATAGTATCAAATGGTCAATTTCTTCATGTCTTTCTCATCAAATGTTTAGCTAATAGCATTCACAGACTTGAACAGGCAGGGTGCTCGGACAAATAGAAATCTGAAACCGGCTATCACAAATTTTTTGGTTACAAAGGCAGGGTAAGAAACATGATATTTATTTCATGTCAAGCGTTGGAGAATTACACAAAGCTTCTTCAACCCGCGATGAGTTGGCTTGGCTTTATGCACTACTAACAAATGTTGGATTTCAAAGCAGTCTTCAGCAAGTAGGGAGAGAATGGTCTCTCTCTCTCTCTCTCTCTCTCTCTCTCTCTCTCTCTCTCTCTCTCTTATTGTGTGTGCATATGACAACGAAAACGAAACGGAACGGTAAGAAAGAAGCGTGTAGACAAGTAGAAAGGAGACGAAGGAGGGAGGGAGGTAAGGGTAGG